GACGCGCGCACGCGGCTGGCGGCCGCAGGGACCTAGCGGGGGGCGGCGGGCCCTCGGGGCGTTCGGTGTCAGTGCCCCCCTCCCTCCGCGCAGTCAGGCTGGCAGGAGCCGCCCCTTCTAGACGGCAGTCTTGCTAACCCAGATCAGAAGCAACCGCGCGGGTCTTGGGCTTGCACCCTTTCGCCTTGCCCTTGCCCGCCCGCTGGGTTTTAGGATGCCCCACGTTAGGTCGGGATGCTTTGCTCCTACAAAGATCCCCAAGGGGGTAAAGTCAGCGGCAGGGTGGTGCAGGCCAGGTGAATTCTTTCTGCTCCGCCTGTTAAGCGCACCTTCGGAGAGCCTCACACTTGCTGCACAGCTCTGCGGGCTGGAGAGCACCAGCCTAAAACGTTAGAATGAAAAGCCGTCCCCTTCTCCCTTCCCCAGCACCTCTGGGAGGAGCAGGGGCCACAGGTGTTGGTGCGAGTTCAGGGACACCCAGTGGTGGTGCTTACTCCAGGTTCCTTGACTTATAATCCGCTGCGCCCAGGCCTCAGGTGGAGATAGCCAGGCGTCCTGGCTTTCAGCTGTACCTCGTTTCGTCTCTGTGGTTTAGGCTAGAGCAGGATTTTCAACCTGTTTTCATCTCATGGCACACATAAACCGCTCAAGTTCTGTGGCACACCAAAACCTCTTACATTTTTTGCCAGTCTGACAAAATATATATATACGTATAATTGTGATTCATTCATACTGGACAGCTATTGTGTTGGCCGTTGTCATTTTTTCATTTGACAATCTAAGGGAAAAGAGGTCAGTGCCCCTGACTGAAGAGTCAGGCATTGCGTGTTTTAAAAATTCTTGCAGCACACTGGTTGAAAATCGCTGGGCTAGAGGGGCAGGCCCTTGGCTAAGGGTCAAGTAAAGCCCCACACCCTCCGGTAAGTGGGCAGCATGCCTCTTGGGTTCTGGCCTGATCCCTGTTTCTTTCTTCTTATACTTATGGAGTTGAGTCAACGAGTGAAGTGACCCAGATTATAGAATAAATACAGCCAAACTATTAAAACCAGCCATTAAAAAAATCCAGGGAACTAGACAAGATACTGGAGGAAGTTTAGCCTCCTGTTGGCAGTGTCGTGTTAGACCTGTGGTGATGAGTTTGGCTCCATCTGTGGAGGACAGGTAGTGTCTAAGTCAGAACCTTGACCTTGCAGGGGCAGTTTGAGGTGTTAAGCTTTAACTCCTGCATTCTTTGCAGTGTGTGTGTGTGTCTTCAACCATCCAGGCCTGTGACCTCTAAGAACCCCACCTGAGCTATTTGACTTAAGGCATTTGGCCCCTAAGAGTACCCTGCACTGAGAGGAAGTTGATTGGGGAGTGGGGGGAATTGTTTTTATTCTTTTAGCTAATCAACATTGGCAAAGGAATAATCTTTTAACACAAAGAAGCCAAAATTTTCCAATTTCCTAAATAAGACGTACCCACCACTCTCTGAGATGCAGTTGAAATGCTAGAGTCTGGACTTCAGTTCCCTTTCTCTCCACTTTTCCGAATGGAGCTGTTTGCTCTATTGTCGCAGGTGATAACTTTCAACCTAGTGACTTGACAGTTTCCCAAATGGCATCTCTCCTGGGAAGCATAATAAAGCGAAGTGCACTAAAATGAGGTGCGCCCCATAGTAGTCTCCCTTCCTCTTGTTTGTTTGGTTTTTAAAATATATCTTTATTGATTTCAGAGAGAGGAAGGGAGAGGGAGAGAAAGATAGAAACATCAATGATGAGAGAGTCATCATTGATCAACTGCCTCCTGCAAACCGCCATTGGGGATGGAGCCGCAACCTGGGCATGTGCCCTGACCAGGAATCGATCCAAGATCTCTGGATCCTAGGTCGATGCTCAACCACGGAGTCACACCTGGCCCGGCTCCTCTTGGGTTTTGAAAGAAGGGAATCAAAAGAAGAGTAGGGTATTCCTGCTCTGAATGACAAACTGAAGCATCCTCTGTCTTTTTCTATCCCCCATATTGGACTACTTCTTACAAATCCTAACTCATCAAAAGTTCCTAATTGCAGGTTGCCTATTGGTGAGTATTGCATTTTTGTGGGGTTTTTTTAACTTTTAAAATCCAGGAGTTATCTTACTGTTCCATCTCGAACCTCCTGTGTACTTCATTGAGTTCAGGTACTGAGCGTTATGAAACAATGTAATTCTCTTCTCCCTCCCCTCGCAGGATGGCTTTTGTGACTTCTACAAACCTGTACTGCCATCTTCGAACAGGCGGCTGCTGGTTCAGGTTCTTCTGTCATGCGTTACAGCAACAATCTTAACCTATTTGTGGACAAAATTATTGTGAGTTGCAAAATTTTTAACCCATTTCTACCTGCCTAACTGTGACCAGCCAAGTGAATTTGAGATGGGAAGGAACAGAATAGAATAAAGCACCTTCTGGGACATTTTTACCTGCATCCCTAGGAGGACTCCTGTGGTGATGATTCAGCCAATGTTTTAACTCCTGACAAATACTCAAAGGTGTTAGGACAAAGGCACTTGAGTGGCTCTTTTCTGATGGGGAAAATGAGAATCTAAAGGCTTATTGCCCCAAAGAATTATAAAAGAAATTGTACTTCA